GATTAAGCCTGCCCGACCTCCAAATATTGCAAGGGCCCGAGCTGGCATCGGTCTCATTTTTGTAGCACCTGAGGGAGGCATAATGAGATTTTTTATTCAGTTTGACTGAACTCAGACCAACAATGAAACCAAATACGAAGCTATAATAGTAGGACTTGTGATTGCGATCGATGTCAGAATTCAAAATTTCCAAATCTTTAGTGATTCTCAACTTGTGATAAATCAGGTCCTCGACATTTACAAGGTTGGCAAACTTGAACTTGCTCATTACCACCGGCAAGCCCTCGAGCTTCTGAAGCAAATACCAACTGTTAAAATAGCTCACGTTCTTCGAGGATAGAAGGCTAAAACAGATTGTCTGGCCAAATTGGCCAAGGAAATGACAAACATCAATGAGGAGAGGCCTATATTCATTGGAGTTTACACCCGCAGGGTCTTAGAGCCCGCTCTGTTACAATTCCCGAGGGCAGAAGGAGTATCGGATTTAAGTCAATAAGATACAATCCCAATTGACCCTCAACCTCTCCATCAGATCATTATGAAAAAATATCCGGAAGGATATCATGTAGCTAAGAGACGTAAAGCTAGTCAAGCTTCAGAATCGTGGTTGCATTGCCTCGATATTGTTGTAGAGAAAGATTGGAGACAGTTATTCATCGATTACATCAAAGAAAATAAACTTTCAACAGATAAATCTCTAGCCACGTAAATTCAAAAGAGAGTGTTACGATATACGTTTGTCAATGACATATTGTATAGACGAGTTTTTGATCAAATGTGCTTAAGGTGCCTAGGGATCCAGGAAGCTGATAAGGTAGTGACAAAAGTTTATGAATGGCTTTGTGGAGCACTTCAGTCAGGTCCCAACATGTCAGCTAAAATCAAAAGAATGGGTTATTATTGGCCGACAATAGTAAGAAATTGTATTGACCATGCCCAGAGGTGACATGAATGTCAAATCCATGGTGATGTCATACATCAACCACCAAATTCACTGCACCCAATAGTAATGTCCTGACCATTTGAATGCTAGGGCACAAATATAATTTGGCCAATAGACCGGCCATCTTCAGCGGGACACCGCTTCATTCTGGCAGACTACTTTTCTAAGTGGGCAGAGGTAGCCGCATTCAGAGAGGTCACATACGATCATGTGATCAATTTCTTTACCCATAATATTGTCTATAGATTCGGTATTCCACGCCGCATAATCTCGGATAATGGCATAACATTCAAAAGTACAAAAATCTATAAATTCGTTGATCGGCATAAAATCGATTGACGGTTTTTATCCATATACAATTCAAGGGCAAATGACTTGACAGAAGTCTTTACTAAGATGCTGGTGAAACTGTTGAAGAAGATCCTTACCAAAAATATAGTGAGTGGCATACGAAGATGGAAGAAGCGCTATGGACATGTCGTACAACCTATAAGTTGCCAATCAAAGCTACTCCTTCATTAGTGTTTGGAGTTGAAGCAGTATTGCCGCTAGAAGTTGAACTACCATCACTCCGGGTAGCAATCCAAAACGATCTCACTCAAGAGCCAAATGCTCGCCTAAGAATGGAAGAGCGATGCACTTGATGAACTCAGGTTACAAGTTCAACACAACCTGAAAATCTACCGAATAAGAATGACAAAATCTTTTGATCGTATGGTGCGTCTTCGGGCATTTCAGGAAGGGGAATTGGTCCTGATGCTGAGAAGACCAATCATCCCACACCGAAAAATTGGTGGCAAATTTGTATCCAACTGGAAGGGCCCCTTTTTCATCGAGAAGGCATTTTAAGGAGGGGCTTATTAGTTAATCAACCTGGAAGGTCAGAGACCCATGCCGTTATTTGAAGAAATATTATGCATAAAATTACTTGGAAAAATATTATATTTAATACGCTATATTTTTGTACATATTTATTAGCGTATACATTTCATGTCTTGAAATATTCCTGAATTATGAGAATATATTTCAAAATTCCTCAACACGCCATAAGAAAGGCCATAGTAGCGGAACCCCCACTTTGTCAACCCGTTAGTAAGGACTGTAGGAAGTACGAAGGTTAATTTGACTCGACAAGTTCAAGTGATCATAGTCTATCAAATTCTCTTAATTGACTGACGAATCAAAGTTCTAATAGGAAAGAGGAGTCGCAAACAACTACTAATTGTACGTGGGCTCCAAATCTTCAACCACGAAGGATAATTCCAAATCTACCAACTTTAGTAGATTCAGCATTGGGAGCACATCTCCCGTAGCTCAAGTCTGAAGCATGAATAGGTGTAAGAGGTCGGAACCAACACGCACAAATATGGTCGGATCGCTGACAGCTCCATCTACTCAACACGCCATAAAAAATACCGTAGTAGAGGAACCCCATCTCAGCAACCAGAGGACGAAAAACTATCAAATCTTAGCTCTCATGATCTGATGAACTCAAGTGACTCAGATTAAAGTCTCCTCAAGTGGGTAACGATCAAGATATTACCCACATTTGGTACTATCAACCTAATCCAAAGCCTGCAAATCCTTCAATAAATCCATAAAGCATCAAGCGAGGATCGAAGAAATTTTTCTTCAACAAGTCCGTCAAAGCACAAAGCAAAGGATCAGAGAAAATATCTGATAGTTCACATAAAGTCTAAGGCTGAACTAAGAGGATTTCGTCATCAACAAGTCCGTTAGGCACAAAGCTTTAGACCGATGACTTTTCGCCACCGACCTAATGCAAGCCTAAATAGTTTAGGTCACTGAAATCTACTCCTTCGTTAAGCCCGCCAAAGCAAAAAGCATAGGGTTGAATGTACAAAAAACCACTTGACAAGTCTGTAAAGATAAATCAGGTAATTCTCCATGAATATCTGACGCACAAAGCACATGATAGAAGGAACCAAGACCTCAGTTCTCAAGCTAAAGCTATATAAAGAAGTATCCCGAATGATATCTACAAGTGTCCCTAAAGACTGAGGGCATTTTAAATATTTATTTGGGTCGACATCGTGCTACATGCTGAGATCCCCAAATAAATATTTAAAATTTCTTGTCAAAATGCAGTTGAAGGAGGGAAGAATGTGGAAGATCCTCTGTAAATTGAATGTAAATTCGACCAGTTTGAAAACTTGGGTTGGGTCTGGGTCAACCTGCTAACCCGAAGTTGATCCAGTTATGACCCGATTCCAGGTCAATCCATTTCATGCAAGCGTAGTCCGCTTGCTTTGTAGTTTTTCTTTATATTAGGTGGGAAGTCACGCGAGTTAAGAAAGCTCGGAGCTTGCCTTTTTGCAGTCAGATTGAAAGTAACGAAGACGACGGGAGGGAGCTCGCCATTTTGCAGGTAGATCGGAAGTAGCGCCAATGACAATGACTAGAGGGAGGTGAGCTCGTCGTTCTACAGTTGGATCTGAAGTATTGACGACAATGACGGGAGCTCGTCGTTTTGCAGTTATATCAGAAGTAATGCCGCCGTCGATGATGAGAGGGAGCTCACCGTTTTGCAGTTGGATCGGAAGTAACCTTGACAACGATGGGAGGGACTCACTATTCTGCAGTTGGATCAGAAGTAATGATGACGACGGGAGGGACTTGCACCGTGGTTTCTTGTCGGGTCGGGTCAACCCGGAAACCCTATGAGTCTGGTTTGGTTGAAATTTCTAACCCGTTTATAAAAACAGGTTGGGTTTGGGTCAGGTCAAACAAAAACGGGTCAATATTGGATTCGATCTGAACCCGACCCTTAACCCGATTTTGACACTCTTAAGTGGGAGGTTGATGAGCTTTCTTCAAATAATAAGGATGGAGATTCGAGGTTCCTCAATTCTGGGTGATAGCGATCTCTAGAGGGGGCGAGTAGGTGTAGGGCTAGTCCTGAAAGTGGGTGAATACATATCCAGAGGGTTATCTTGTGATGTCGGCAAATGATATAAGAGGCTCGACATTGCCCTGCTGATGAAGGCAAGTTGAAAATTGAGTGGGTATGGCGAGTTCTCAAGCTTGGGATGAGTTGTAGCCGAATGAGTGTGGGATTGCTGAGGTTGGCACTTTCCTGTTGATGCGTTGGGTGAGCTTGAAGGGCTTCATGGGTAAGAGCTTGACTAAGATGAGTGATGATCTACTTCTCTGGTTGAAGGACCTTCTAGTCGCCCATTATGGGTTGAGTTCTTGGAGTGGATCTGGGTTAAATGTGACTTCTCCTTGGACGGATCCTTATATCAGCTATTGGTGAGTTTGCTAAGGCATCTACTCCTTGGAAAGAAATATCCTTTCTATGAGCCAATTGCTATTTGTGAGGATACTTGTGAAGGCAACTAAGGGCTTCATGGGTAAGAGCTTGAAGGGCTTCATGGGTAAGAGCTTGACTAAGATGAGTGATGATCTACTTCTCTGGTTGAAGGACCTTCTAGTCGCCCATTATGGGTTGAGTTCTTGGAGTGGATCTGGGTGAAATGTGACTTCTCCTTGGACGGATCCTTATAGCAGCTATTGGTGAGTTTGCTAAGGCATCTACTCCTTGGAAAGAAATATCCTTTCTATGAGCCAATTGCTATTTGTGAGGATACCTGTGAAGGCAACTAAGGGTATATAATGCTGAGCACCGATAATTGAAGCATCATAATTCACTACTGATATTGTGCTTTTACTCTTGATGGCCTAGATCATCTCAACATTGTTTAGTTATACCAATTTATATTTTTATTCCTTCTTTAACTAATTGTCACTAATGTTGTATGCTAGCCTTGTTTGGTCTTTTTCATAGCATAATAATCACCATTTGATAATTTTGAATACAATATAAAACAACAAGACTGACTTTTAACTTCTGCTTATAACATGAGTATGCCAAGCAAAGCTTATATTAAGAATATAAAGACTTATGTAAATTAATTTAGATACCCATAAACAAACCCTTTTGACGACAATTTTCCTTGAATTTAAGGATATTGCTTAGCCCAAATTTATTATTCTTGATTCTTCATGAATTCTAAGCGAAATCTTTTTTTGCCAGGAAGAAGATTGGTATGGTTTCTTTATCCTAATCAAAACACCTCTCCCAAATCAGTCAAAGATATCTTCTTTAACAGTTCACTTACTGATCCTGAAGGTGAAAAGATGGTACCTTCTTTTTAGTTTCTCCTGATTCTCCTTTTTATCATCAACATCATTAGCTTTAGCGACATAATATTGGTCAGCTCTCTGCATTCTCATTTTACATTCTTTATGTTGACTGATGTATTAAGCATTAAACTTATTCTGCTTAAAATTTTTTTAATAGATTTATCCTTCTTACCTTAGGTTTACTATATTTCGTAGCTAATATTTCAATATTAATTTTATCTACTCGTTTAATAATGTATTTTCTGCATTCATTGTACGTCTAAGCCATCCAATCTTACTTTTAACTCTCTTATTTTCAACAAATGACACTCCATGTGTTCTTAGTATAATCGTTCCTCATTATGTTCTTTTTAATTTTATCATGCATTCATATTAAGATTCTAATTTCCACCATATTCAGCTTAGCTATCAATAACTTTTTATGTTACTAACACTTGGATCCATACAACATAATCGACCTAATTATAGTTTTATAAAATTAACCTCTAATTCTATATAATACTCTCTTATCACATAATACTCTTGAGAAACTTTACATTAACTGAAGCATAAATCATCTAAAGCCAAAAATTTAAATGCTAGTCAACTATATTTCAGGAGAAAATCAGCTTTAAGTTGAAGACTATTGTTTGTCTTTTAATTGATTTTTTTTTTCTTCTCTTTAATTGATTATGAATCTTCCATTATTTCTATTTTTGATCGAGTGCTAAATGAGGTTTTAACTTTATTTTTTTCAAGCATGGCCTCTATTTGGATTGCCTTTGGCCATGCCTCTTTTCTTTCTATTCCTTCAACTTTAATTTTTTAATCACTTATTGGTGAATCTTTTCTTCATGGTTGTAAACATCCAAAATCATTTGATCTATTTTCTACTATCTTATCTTCCATTATTCCTATTTTTTATTGAGTGCTAAATGAGGTTTTAACTTTATTTTTTGCAAGCATGACCTCTATTTGGATTGCCTTTGGCCATGCCTCTCTTTTCTTTCTATTCCTTCAACTTTAATTTTGCAAGCACTTATTGGTGAATCTTATCTTCATGGTTGTAGACTTCCAAAATCATTTGATCTATTTTCTAACATCTTATCTTCATAATGTTCTACTAACTGTACTTGTCATTCTTTGTTGCCAACACGCAGGTCTATATAGTACTCGATCTAATTATTATTTATGAAATTTTTGGTCTAGTTGATATTTTCTTATTGCATAAAATTTTTAATTCACTTCTTTATTTTAGCTACCGCACTCTATATCTATTCTTTTATGTAATCTACAGTGCTTTATTACTTCAACTTCCAATAATATCCACTAAATAATTAACTTCGTGCCTAATAAAAATTCATTTATGGCTTGTTTTATTAATGTTTAGACCCTTTTGAGAATTTTCTCTATTTTTCAAATGTTTTGCTTCAAAAGGGGTATCATCAGTATTAGAGTGATATCATGTACATAGAATCTTTATAAAGTTGTTTCATTTTGATTTTTTTTAAAGTATCTTCATAATCAATACAGGCATATATAGCATAGTCACATGCTTGACTTTAGCATGCTACGGTTGGAAAACCTTTTGATCAATTCAGAACTAATTCTAATGTTAGTCACCGCGGCATCATTCATATTATTATTAATTTTAACATAGTATATACGCACCTCTTTGCCTTGATGCCAATCAAATTATTTATTTTTTGGTATTGGTGTGACTTTTTTTTTTCTAACCATATGTTCTAACCACCCCATAATTTTATCATATCACTACTAAATTTAATATTTTTTATAATTATCATTATGCTACGCATTTAGTTTAGTCTTAAATTCTGATAACATCTTATATCTAATTATCAATAGGAATCTTGTCTAGTAATAAAGCTTCACCATTAATGTTTTTATAAAAGCTAATTTGACTTCAATATTTTTTTCAATATTTTATAGTATAGTTCATTTTTTTTTATTTTATTCTTATAAAGGATTTTCTTCTTCAATACTTTAATGCATATTTTATCAAAACTATTGCTTCAATCCTTTTTAAAGAAAACTTGAATAATCAGGAAAAATATTTTTGATTGATTCTTAATTTTAATTTCTTCAAATATTTTATTTCCGATTGACATGTTTCACAAATTGCATAGAAGAATATTTTTAGATGAAGAAATTAGAGAATATTAATTTAACTTATTGCTTTTCATTTTCATTTTCCATCATTTCTATCACGACCTGATCCGATAACTTGAAATTCCATGACTAATACAATCGGTTGGGCGGTAGTTTAATTCTCTTCAACGACCTTTACAAGTAATTCAAATTGAAACAACATGCAAAATATAAAGAATCACTAAGCAACAATATTTTGTTGACATTCAAAGTATACGCAAATCAATTCTAATTAATACATTTCAAATAAATTAACTGTAGTAAAGTACATATGATATTTTAATAACTATTCGTATTTGCTCCTATTTTCCTATATGTAAGTCCATCTCTAGCACTCATTTAATTTAGAAGTGCCTTTTCTGAAGTATTAATATTTCATAATAGGTCTAGTCACATAACAACTTATTGACTAATTATAGTTTTATAATTTAGTAGTTTAAAAAATGGAAGGAAAATGCATATAGTTCAACATACGAAATCTCTAAAATATCATTTTAAAAGAAATTTGTCCCATGCATATTTGTCATTTTCTAAGGAAAATAAAGAGCATGTCATTTTATAGCAAGAAATTTAGTCAGTAATTTAGCATATTATAACTTTTAATAAAATACTCATCTTAGGAACACCATTTAAATTGTAACATTTAAGTTACTCCATTTGTTTAATTTTTTTTTTTCTCATAAGATATATATATATATATATATATTATTTAAGGCTCACATTGCATCCACAGCTAGTATCAAATAGGTGAACTACTTCATTTTGGCACATGCATACATGACATTTGTTTTCATTCATCTTTGCTTATATTTATATTTAATTTGTGCATACATGAGTTTCAATAAGATGCTTTATTTAACATTTATCACAATATGAGGGTAAGTATGCAAGTAAAAGAAAAAAAATCATTTAATCATTTGAATGGAATTTTTAGAAATATTAATATTGTCAATGCACATATAGAAGGTGATATCAGTCAATGACTTAAATCATAGAAAAGTAGAAAAATCTCAAAATAGTCCCCAGTCTATTCGCATATGGCCAATTTTGTCCGAAAGCACCACACCGTCCCAATTTAGTCCCTTAACTATATAAAATTAATTTAAAATAGTCCTTCATATTGTAATTGTGATATAAAATTGATCCCAATTTAGTCTATCTTTACAAAGTTGATTCCAATTTAGTCCCAAAGGGATCATTTTGTTTCAATTTCATATAGTTGAGGGATTAAATTGGGACAATGTGATATTCTGGGACTAAAATGTCCATATTCAAATTGTCGGGGGAGTATTATTGAACAACTACTATAATATAGGAATATAATTACCCCATTAATTTTTAGTTGATCTTTAAACGCATTTCTCTTAGCTTTCACCTATACATGCATATAATCGCCCATAAATACTTATTTTCTATCATCTTTTGTAATTGTTTTTCAAATTATAATTTATTTTTTTTCAATTGTCTATATTTATTATTACCTTTCTTTTTCCTTTTGCAAAACATGCCTTCTCCTGACGGATTCTTCCTTTCCTCAATAAATTCCTAAAGTTTAATTCAGAAAATAGCAATCTTAATTATGTTTTCCTAATAGAGTCCATAAAACAATGAAATTTTCTGTTCAAACCTTACATTAATTGAAAAAGAAGAAGAAAGTAATTAATTAAATTCTGACTTAAATACATGTCTGAAATATTCCTTTTTATTTTTCTTCCTCTTCTTTTAATATTCAAATTCTTGATTTTTCCTAGTGATATTATTCTTCTTCACCAAAAGGTTCTTACAAAGTTAACTTGTAAATTAAAGAACAAATCTAGGCTTATGGATTTGGAGTTGAAAATTTTGCATAGGAAGAAATAAATGAAGATACAAGTTCTAAGTTTGATTCCAGTTAGCTTACCCACGCTTACTCTCTCTCAATTTTATTGTTACAACAATGATCCTCCTCTAAGTCTCCCTTGCTTCATCCTCCCAATTTTTTTTGTTTCTTCTCCATCTCTTTATCTTTATCACCCTCTCGTTCACTCAATTTCTCTTGAATGTTCACCCTCCACGATCGTACATTATTGCTCGTGTGTATGTATGAGATGGAAATGGCCTTGTTGTAGATTGCATGATGTGGTTGCTTGTTTGACTTCCCCATTTCTCTTGCTATATTCACGGACGGAATCTACTCGCTCTCTTCTAGATCGCTTGCTTCGTTTCAACTTTTATTCATTGGTCTCCCTTCAAGTCAGAGACAAAACCACAACATCTGTTTTATTGAGCCAGTGCTGCTAATTCATTTATGAACCAGAAGTTGCAACTTCTTCGACACTTTGCCCTCTTTCTAATTGACTTCGAGGTAGAGCTCAACGTCGGTGTTCAGATTTAGTTTAAATAATACTCTATCTGTTAAACAGCGGTTAGCCCTTTCAAGAAGCACTAAATTACTTAAGAATAAGATTCACTTTGATTTTATTTTACCCAATCTATAGTTTACTTCTCTGTTTGCTTCCCTCAACTCACTTGTGCTTTGTTCAACTTCAGCTAGAATGTCATCTAGCCCATACAACCACGTTTTTAAAAGGAAGAAAAAAGCCTGGTCCCTGAAGGTCTTGGTATAGCCTATTAAAGCCTATTTAATAAAACAAATACTTAGATCTCTTTGTAAATCTGCAACAATAAGCACAAGAAGGTCACCACTATTTTAAATAGATATCTCTTATTACATAATATTATGAGCTGCCCTAGTCCCCTGGATAGGGCTGCAAACGAACCGAGCCGAGTCGAGTATGTGAGTGTTCATGTTTGTGTTCATTTAATATCAGCTTGTTGAAGTTTGGTTCGTGTTTGATTCAAGCTTTATTGTTTGTGTTCATGTTTGGTTCGTTTAAATTAATGAGTGTTCATATTTGATTCATGTTCAATTCGTTTAGTTCTTATCGAGCTTTAAACAAACAAGCCTTAACGCACTATAAACGAGCTCTACTTCTAGATGTTCATTAACTTAACAAACAAGTTTTATCAAGCCTCCTAACAAATAATTACATTGAGCATGTTCGTAAACATATTTAGCGATTTTTTTTTTTGAAATATCAAACAAACACGTTCATGAATATATCTAACGAGTATTCTTGAACTATCAAATGAGCAAGTTCATGATCATATATAACAAGATTTTTCGAGCTAGCAAATTTTTTCATTCACGAACAAGTGATTTATGATTCATCTTATATTTGTTCATGTACATTTTAAACAAACAATCAAGATAACATGAACAAATGTGAAATGTCTCTTGTACATGAATCGAGCTTTTATCGAGTTTTTTATCGAGCCTAATGTCAAGCTTATTCACGAGCTTTAAATGATGTTGTTCACGAACATAAATGAGCCGAACACATTAGTGTTCAAGCTTGTTTATTTAAGGATCGATTATTTAAAATATTGTTCAGGTTTGTTTGTTTAATTAATTAAACAATCACAAACGAACCTAATTGAACCGAACAACGAGTAGCTCATCGAACGCTTGATTCACTTGCAGCCCTACCCCTGGAGCCTATTAGGGTTAACGTTTCCCTGTAGTCTATCAGGGCCAATCCTTGTAAGCTTTGTTTAGTTAAGTCAAATAATTGTTGTCTTTAAATCGCAGAGCTTGCAGCCACATAGGCTTCTGAGTGGGCGTGTTCTTTAAAATTTTATAAATCCTTATTTGTATTGCAGGGATAAACATATTTAAAATCAACTGATGAATTGAACTTAAAATATACAGGATCAAAAGAAGCTAAACTTTGTCCTAATTGATGGCACATGGAGCAATTCTGCTGCAATGTATAGACGTTTGAAGGTACTCCATGATTTTCTTGAAATTTCATATCTTATTGAGCGTTGAATTGCTACACCATTTCATTATTTTCCACAAAGAGCCTGAAGCTATCTTGCTGGTAATTAAGTGGCTAAGGTTTATGATTATTCTGCATTTCTTCATCAAATTAATTTTAAATGACAATTAATTGGAGCCAATTCAATCAGCATTCGTGGAGTGGATTGGCTAGTCGCCAACTAGCTGCTGTCGGCCACTCAAAAAATAATAATAATATTCCATGAAATTCATTTGATTACAAATAATGCGAAACATATCATCAAAGCAAACCCATATAAAAGCATTTTCTTTTCAGGAGAGATGGGCCGCTACATGGGGGGAGAAAGATCCACCTTGCATTTCTCTTTCAAGTACTGGCGCATCAGTGATGCATAAACTCCGGTGAGGCATTTTACTCTTCTTACAATCTTTCCCCCGTCAAGCCATTCCACACTTTGGTTTCCGCATCTGATGCATATTTTGCCTGTTCTATGTTAAAAGGCCACAGCCGGGTTGGGATAGAACATGCACGGCAGCTGCTGCTGGTGGTCTTCTCTCAGAACTTCACCATCATCCGGTGCTGCAGTCACATGGGCTTGATAAACATGCGGAAAATGTGGAGAATGCATTGGATGTCTTACTCAAATCCCTCACTGCTCGACGCTTGCGGATGGGCCGGTCCATCAATCGGAAGGAAAGGCATAACAACTGCATCTAAAAGAACAGAACTTTTTTTTTTTAATCTTGTCCTTGTGCTTAGAAGATGAACTATAGCTGGTAATTGTTGCTTGTAAGTCTACTGGGCGGACGAGATTAAAGCAACAGGTTTCACATTTTTTAACGTGGTATCATTATTATTTCCAAACAGATTTGAGGGAAAACTCTGTATGTTCTTTTTAAAAAACAAAGTAGAGTCATTGTGGTTAAAACTATAGTTTTGTAAACCTGGGGAACTACTGTTTTGAATTTCTGAACTATGTTATCACATTGCGATCTTAACTCATGCATTCTGGCAGTTCCTTTTAGATATGATTCTCGCAGCTACTTGCTAGACTATTATGAGAACATATGACGAGGAGCTATTGAATGGACTAGTAGATAAGAAGCTTGTGTCAAGGACCCTACCTGTTGTAGAAGCACTCGGTTGTTGAAGAGAAGCTATGTAATTTGTCTTTAACGATATTTTAGATGAAATTTTTAGAACTTTCTACTTGAAGAACTTGATGTCAATAAAATATAGGGGCGCCAGGGTCAATTTGTGTATTTCGCTAGAAGCAATGAATTTGATATATCAAATGACGTGGAAATTTGGATATTCGGCTAGTACAGCTATACTAAGTATTTTTAGAAATGATTTTAATCATGCATCTCAGTCATGGCACTATAATAGTCTCACCAAGAACCTAGTTCCTTTCTTTTGATTGGTTTCTTTCCAGCTCGTCTTTTCTGATACCAACCCATTACAATTGATGGTTCACCTCAGCCAACTAACTCTGCATGCCTCTTTCCTTCTCTCCCAAACCACATGGAAAGTTTATTAAATTGATTGTTTAATTACATTTTTCTGAAGCTAATTTTCTAAAGAATGTCATCAATGTGACATTATCATATAGCTGCCTAAATCTTCTCAACTACGATAGCTACACTTGGAAGCGCTTTGCACCTTCCAAGAATGCTGAGTATAGGTTGCCAATTGGACCCCACCACTCCATAATGTTCCATCCTAACCTCTCCTCTCCCTCTCCTTTAGTTAAACACCCGTATCTACCCTCCTCAAATCCTCTTTTTAATTGCCCCTCCAATTTCCTCTCCTAAATTAACTTCTCAGTTCACCATCACCATCACTCCAACCATGGCCAAAGCTTCAAGGGCCTGCGCTCTCTTGCTCAGGTTCCTGGCTATGGCAGCAACCATCTCCGCTGCTGCCATCATGGCCACTAGCCATGAGACTACCAACATCTTCAGCATCACCATCAAGGCTGAGTTTTATCAAATCCCTTCTTTCACGTAATTAACTCAATTTTTTTTCTCATACCAGACATGTATATACTGCAAGTTAAACCTTGATTACAGGTTTTTCGTTATAGCCAACTCCATCTCCGCTGCCTACAGCCTTATTGCTCTCTTTTTACTGCCGGCAGGTCTAATCTCAAGATGGTTTGCTGTGGTAAGACTAACTTGCTTGGCTTCTATTGCTTTTTATGAGAAAGACGTGTATCATGTGTTGTTGAGTTTGTTGTGTGATTGCATTTAGATTATTGCAATGCTGCTGACTGGTGCAATGGCGTCGGCTGGATCGATATCACAGGTGGGGAAGAAGGGAAACGTGCATGCAGGATGGCTTCCCATCTGCGATGAGGTCTCCAAGTATTGCAACCAGATCATGGAAGCCCTCATAAGTGGCTTCATTGGACTTTTACTCCACACCATAATTGTTCTGCATACCATAACCACTGAGCTCAATCCTCTGCTTCCCTAAACAAATGGTGGTCAAGTGGACTTTACTATTGTATGCATGTTTCTGTCTTTAAACATCACTGTATTCTTATCAAAAGAGTGTATTCTAATTGCTTAATTAGTTATGGATGCAACTTAATATTCAATGATGCTTACGCTTGCATGTTTGGCAATTTGGCATGCTGTACTCCCGAGGTTTTTCTCTTCTGAGGATGTCATCTTATTGCAATGTAAAGTTATAGTGTTATTTATTATTATTATTTTTAATGGGAATGAAGGATAAATCGGTATGAATTCATTATTTTGAGGAAACAACCTTATCGGTATCCATTCATGATTGTAATGCTATTTATTTTGAAATATGATTCTGACAAAATCTAAATAGGTTTCTGTGTCAGAATGTTGTCTTGAGATCAAAATTTTTGAATTTGGACTAGATCGATCGATTCAACTATGAATTATCCGGGAAACAGGTCCGGTATTAGAGCAAACCTCTTTAGCATGGAACTGGGAAAAAATTAGAATAAATGCTAGTTCAACTTTATAATCGTTGAACAGGCCGGATTTAAATGAACCGTCCAGTTTTGAACAACCAGCTCATTTGCACTATCAATCACTAATTCATGGGCCAAAAACATGAAATTAAGTCGCAGTTAGTCAAACAAACGTTAAAACCGTGAAATCCCAAGGCTTAGTTTCCTCCCATGCATGAGCTCTCTCTCATTCTCGCATATCGGGTAGCATCACTCTCAGGCAAAAACCAAAATTGTTTTTCTTGTTATTATAGCAGGTGTGCTTCTCATGTTACATAAACTTCATAGTTGGGCCTAGGCTCTCAAAATGGTAGAAAGGAAATTTCAAATTTGCACCTTCGATCGCTAATCAACAAGTGTATTGGCATTATATTTGAGTTTTGCATTTCAACATTTTTCAAAACTAAAGTCAATTTTGGATTTGGGTTTAAATTATCTTTATTTATCCAAATGTTTCTTTATAACTTTTAATGAAGTTGCAACATATTCACCCTTGCTAAGAATTATTTTTGTTTCCAATTAAGTAAAGATATTTAGGCATTCACAACCTTCAATTATCAAATATCTCAAACAAATTTATTGACCCCTACGCATCAAATCACATGTAAAGGGAGCAAAAAAAAGGCGGATCAAGCGACGCGTGTGTCGACGCGATGCGTTACTTGAAGGCTCAAATGACCTTCGATTGCCAAACGGTCTACACCGTTGCAATCCGGGCATCGAATTCGCCTAAGTGGGGACCCCTCCCAATCAAATCAGATGAGATCGGTCCAAAGGGATGGCTGACATCATAAATTGGCATGCGACGTCACCCAAACCACATTCGATCTAGAATGAATTTCGCTGTTGCCTCAGGAACATTGTCGACACTCAAAAACTACAATTAATTTGTTTAAATGGAATCGACCCTAGCAAAATGGCACGAATCCCAAGGTGATGATGTGCAAATCGAGGAAATTGAAATGAAATGACGTCTGAGTGACGTCCGATTGTAAAACATACTTCGTCATTGCATTCGAAACATTGTCAATGCCTAAAAATGATAGCCAATTAGAACAATTAAACATACACTAGGGGGATCGACACGCATCTCTAGACAACAAGGCAAATCGAGGAAAATGGCGTGCGATGTTACCCAAACAACGTCCAATTGCAAAATGAACTTTGTCGATGCATTCAGAACATCATAAATACGCAAAAGGCACTATCAATTTGACCAATGAAAGTTGTGTGCGAGATCGACATGTATCTTAAGGCAACACGTACAAAACTAGAAATCTTGCATGTAGCTTGGCCCAAACAACGTCCAATCACAAAATGGACTTTGTCGTTGTGTTCGGAACATCTTCAATACTCAAAATTGACTTCCAAGTTATTTAATTAAAATTGTGCAACAAGATCAGCACTGGTCTTGAGGAAACAACACACAAATCGAGGAAATTGACACGTGATGTTGCGCAAACGACTTTTGATTGCAAAACGGACTTTGCTGTTGCATTCAGAATGTCTTCAATATCCAATACACACTATCAATTTACCCAACAAAAATTGTGCGGTGAAATCGACACGCAAAATGAGTAATACATGTAAATCTCGGATCACGCGAATGAAGTTTTTTTTTTTTTTTTAAATCAGCATATCATTGTCATTTTGAATTAGTAATAATATGATATGTTTTATATTAATATTAATTTAAAAAAATCATCAAATCAAAAGTTCAAGAAAATATTTTTTTTTCAAAACAACATTAATTACATGTATCCTAGTTATGTTGAAAGCTTAAACGTTGATCCCTAAAAATCCGCCCAGTCACCGGACGCTGAGAATAGGTTCGGACATCCAATAAAAATTTGCCACGTCACCTGCGCTTTTGACTTGCGTTTTAGTTGCACTTTGACTGCGCTTCACCTGTGCTTTTGACTGCGCTTTGACATGCGGTTTACTTGCGCTTTTGACGAGCTTAATTTAAAATAATATTTTATTAATATTCGGACCTATCTCCAGTCCGATGACTAGATGCAATAATTTGCCTCACCTCAGACACTGCTCTCGATTAAATGTGTAGCCCCGTTGTTGAAAAGCGAGATGAATCAACGACCTCGTTTCTTCTTGGCGCGTAAGACTTTCTTCTTATTTAATTCCTTCCCAATTCTCCTCCTCTCCTCTAGCCAACCGAAGTTCATAAAACTCAAAACCTCGCACGTTCTCCGATCTTCAACACCCTTCGCAAGCCACAACCCAGTTTCCCTGTCCGTCTCAAGCTACACACCCATCATGTCTTCTGTCCCTCACCTCCTCTTAAAACGGTCAAGCTTTGCTTCGTCCAGCCTCTCACGCCTCTAACAGGTCACTCAAAGCCATCGTCTTGTACCTAACTCTCCTCAGACTTCTTCACCCAAACGGGAGCTTTGACCTTCCCCTTCCGTTCACGACTCCAACAGCAACCTACGCAACCTGAGCCAAATCCACCTACACCTTCATGTTCATATTGACATACGGAACATGTTCAAGGGAACTGCAATGACTACAAATCACCCATATCTCATGTCAACATATTGCAAATGAAGGCATTGAACTAATTGCAAGCAACGACAACATAAAAGCTGTATGAATGTGATGATTTTCCTCCAATCAATATCAACTTGCAAGTAAATTCATCGAACATCGACAAGTAAAGAATGACAATACATGAGGAATGTGATGGGCTCCTACCATAACTTCTATGCAGTCAAATGCACCAGCTCATCAACGACTGAAACACTACCCACAAACATATGTAAGCATTTATACAACAAATAATGAATATGACCATCTATTGATGACCCACCTTTAGATAAAATTCATAAACTTATCATACATCCAAAATGCCCAGACAAGCACTATAATATGTAGACACCAAACACATAAGTGCACATACGCCCATATTAGCCTGTAAACATATAAAATCAAATATTTGAGATATGAATTAATAGGATATGATCGATAGGGCACAAAGCCCTCTGTTAAGTAAGGTGGATTTAAATTTATCCCCTTAGAAAAATATTCACCGCAGGTTTACAAGGTTCCCTATGACGAAGCAGCCTATGGCTGCCGACAAGGATTCTTCTGCCAAGTTGGGTCAACTACATCCTTTGACTAAGTAGATCAAGGATCATGATGACCCTTGACAACAAAACCATGGGATCTTGATCGGGTCCATTATTATCCATTCCCCCACCATCAACTTTAAATGCAACATGGTGAAATTTTTAATTTTAAATATCAAACCTTCATACACATAAACTAATGTTGCTACTATACACCAGATACTACGTATTCAATCCTTAATCGAATTTTCTCACTCATTAATGTGAGGGGTAATTAACTATAGGGGCTTGCGCTTTTAGGAAACCAAAACTAAAATCATAAAGTCCTGGCAAAATAAGGGCGAAATCTTTGAGTAATGTCTTATCTACAAACCCAATCTATCTTCTAAAAATTTACCCCGGAACATATTTCTTTAAAACTCCACCGAAAGCAAGGAGATGCTGAGGAACAAATTTTCGGAGCACCAAAATCACACCATCAATATTCACATGATAAATTAAAAGGGTTGATTTGGTACAAACATTTATTTCTTGACAGCTTTTAAATACATAAATTATACAAAAACAAAAACTATAGCATATTACACACACAGATCTCTGCTAACACATAAATGTGGATGTGAAATCATGATTCATATATTTGTGTGTGTTGACTTTTAATTAGTCGGAAATACAACAAATCTGTATCATGCACAACCAAGTCATAATAAACTAATTTGAAAAAAAAAAGTAAAAGACTTCAAATTGTTAACAATATTATTCAAATTGATTATTGTCCTTATAAAAAAAAGAGTTTTTGTAGTATGGATCCTAAAAATTGGTCCTGAGCTGTAATTTGGTGTAATATATTATAGACTTGATAGGAAAATTGATATACATCACAAAGCCACCATGTTACAATTGAATGGAACTAATTAGTGAGTGCAATGGACATTTTAGCAATATATATATATATATATATATATATATATATATAATGTCCGAGTATTGCAAATGGAGCTGCTCATTCATATGACTAACCCCTAGAGATATCTAATGGAATAATGTCACTTGCAAAACAAGTGAATGAATTTGCCAATGTATGTAAGGTACAAAATATTTCAAGGAAATTTAGCTCCAAAAGTTGTAGAGCTATTTTAGCACATCGACATTGTCAGATAATTGAGAAAAAATCGATGGGCTTTGCAAGGCTAGAAATGCCAATGATGTGTTTGAAACTTTCAAAGAAACTGATTCATTCAACCTAACATTATTGTCTATAATATTTTAATTGAAAGTCTTTGCAAGGTTCGACCAATAAAGGAGGTAGCGATTATTCTTCTCTAACTGTTTATAGGAAGCACTACATTGATAGGAAGTAAAACTTGGGTTGAATAAATAAAACATGCTAGAGTTTTTCTTTATTCAAATGAACCCCGCAAGAAAATAAATTGCTCATCATGGCCACGTTTGCATGTCCACAACATCTGGCAGTTTGTATCTAATTCAATTCAATTCATATAAAAAAGAAAACAAAGGCTGCAATATTTCACGCTTACTTTGCAAAAAGAAATTGAGTTTTCTCTGGCTTTGGCTCTCTAGTTTCTGCTCAGC